TGCCTTAATCTTTGTATTCATGCCTGTCAGTGTGAGAGAAGCTATTTGTATATATTTGCTTGCATATGCAACCACACTTAAGTTGAGGCCCTCAGCATGTTCTGTAAGTATCAGAGTGGCCCCTGGGGCTTCCAAAGTTGAGTTGCCCTAGTTCATCCCTGACAGGTGTCTGTCTAACCTGGTCTTAAATATCTGCAATTGAAGCCCATTGCTTCTCATCCTAATCTCAGAGGCCAAGCAGAACAATTTTTCTTCCTCCTCCTTATGATACTCTTTTAGATACTTGAAAGCTGCTCTCATGTCCCTTTTTGGTCTTCTCTTTTCCAAGGTAAACAAGGCCAATTATGGCTCATTCCCTGCCTATGGGATGTGAGACTGGGTGGGTTAATTTCCAATCCTCCTGTTTATTCTTTTCCTAAGCCAGGAGGGCACAGTAGTTCTGATGAGTGTTGGTGAGGGGATGGAAGCCAGATCCAAGATCAATGAGCCCTGGGAAGTGGGCCCATTGAAAGGACATTGGACCTGTGGATGCCTTGGGGATCAGCAAGGGCATGCTTTGGGAAGCCCCCTCTTTGGAGGGGAATGTGCCCTGGGAAGTGGGCCCATTGAAAGGAGACTGGATCTGTGGATGCGTTGGGGGGTCTGCAACAAGGGCCTGCTTTGGGAAGCCCCCTCTTTGGAGGTGAATGTAGCAGCATTGAGACACCACCCAGAAGCAGACGCCACAGACGCTAACCTGCAGATTCATGGGATGGGTCTCTCAGATCTTGCACATGCATAAGATGATAGATCTGCAGGAGGGGGGGCAGTGGCGTAGTGAGGTGGCCAGAGGGGTCAATTGCCCATGGGGAAAAAAATAATATAAAATTTAATTAAAAATAGATATCACACATTTTTAAAAGGAATGCCATATCTCCTGCCTTTTGTGTCTTTAGGCCCCCAGTTAAAATTTTCAAAAGCACTTGAGTGACTAAAGTCATTTTTGAAAATTGGACTTGGAAATCTAAGCTCAGATTTTCAAAGGTAATTAAGCTTCTAAAGAGACAGTTGCCAACTCGGATCTTCAAAGATATCTATCTGATCTTTACACATCTTTGAAAATCTGGTCATAAGTGTCCTAATCAGTTCTGAACGTGAGATGTAGGAGCCCAGTCCTAATTCCTTCAGGCTTTTTTTTTTATTTGAACATTTATCTACACTAATTCTTCTCCTTTCTCTTTCACAATCCAATAAATGCATGGATCAAAATTATAGGTGCTTTGTGAATATGCTGACTTGAGAGTGGAAAGATTTCATATTGTCATGTATGATTCCTGGTAACCCATCTCAAATATGAAAAACTAGGTTGATATTTGTTCATATCAGGAGCCGTTGAATTCAGTTTACCATTTGTAGTATCTCATTAGGATGTTTAGTGGAGAATATATTGTTTGATTTTTTTATTTATACTGTGGCCAAAGCATGGGCTCACAAGAATTCCCCCATTGCTTTACCATGAGTCTCAAATCATTTGGGCTGTGTCTAGACTGCATCCCTTTTTCGTAAAAGGGATGCAAATTAGACATATCGCAATTGCAAATGAAGCTGGGATTTAAATCTCCCCTGCTTCATTAGCATAAAAATGGCTGCCGCTTTTTTCTGGCTCGGAGCTTTGCTGGAAAAAAGCACCAGTCTAGATGCGGAAAATAAAGCCTTTTCCCTTATCCCTCATTTTAAGAAGAACCCTCTCATTTTAAGAGGGATAAGGGATCTTTCGGAAAAGGCTTTATTTTCCAAAAGATCCGCGTCTAGACTGGCGCTTTTTTTTGGCAAAGCTCCGAGCCGGAAAAAAGCAGAAGCCATTTTTATGCTAATGAAGCGGGGGAGATTTAAATCCCTGCTTCATTTGCAATTGCAATATGTCTATTTTGCATCCCTTTTATGAAAAAGGGATGCAGTCTAGACACAGCCTTGATGTTTTTCTAAAAGCCTGGAGTCAATTGATTATGTAGGAATCTCAGCTTTCATTTAAAAAAAGTTCTCTATACCTCTGAGCCTTACAGCTAAGGAGGAA